TCTCACCCAGTAGTTTATCACTGAAGGATCTGGGAGGGCTTTGTTTGTTTATCACAACTTAAACTATTTGCTTTTTGGATTGTTTTTTATCATTGCATAGATCTAGATTCTACTACTTCTTCAGTTCTATGAAAATGTAAGGAGTTTTTTATAATTATCGATGTAATTTATATATCAATTTATATTTATAAATATATTAATTAAGATAAAACTATATTTAATTTGTATGAATACATTTTAGTAGCATATGTGTTATTATTCATTGAGTTATATACTTTATTTATTATAATTTAATTTTAAAATAGAGATTTTATGGAGCCGCAAAACAGCTTAGAAATTATATTAAATTACTTATTTATTTATTTTGAAAATGTAAAAATGCAGTTTTCTGTGATGTTCGTGTTTTAGGTGTACACGGTAGAATATGCTGTTACAGTACAAAAATCATTACGGCTATATTAATAAAAATTAAACAAAATCCTTACAGTAATCTTCTAAAAGATAAATAGAAGATACGAATGTATTAAAACTATAAAGAGTTCATTTCAACCATCTTTTCATTTTAAAATATTTAAACTTTTACGATTATGATTTGAAATAATCTTAGTACGAACAAAATTTTGGCTCTGGAAAGGTGTTAGCAGACTAACATTACACGATGCACAGAGACTCATCTGCTCTGTCGCCCTATATCCTGAAGCTAATGGGGGCTGGCCTGAGGCATCACAGATTCTAAATGTCTTCATTGGTGCTCTCGCACTAAAGATAGGCCTATGTGGTGATTTTCGCACAGATACTACTTGAGGAATTATTGAACATTTCACACAATGTGTGAGATGACTTGTGAGAGCCCAAAAAACCTCAAAGTTATTTACATGTACCCTGATAAATAAAAAATATAGTCAAGTTTTTCCACGATGTAGCATATTTGTTTTATGAATTAATTTAATTTAAAATATCTTGTATTTTTAAAAGATATAATTTAAACTTTTAATGATTATACTATGAAATAAGATTAACACTAATCGAACACATGCAATGTCTCGTTCTGACCGCTGAAAAGACACACACACACACACACACACACAGCATGCCTGTCAAGCGAGGGGGAGAGACAATTACTTGTGCGATCTTTTCAACTTTAAATGTATGAACATCTTAGGAACTACTTCGTCAACCGGCTGAAAAAAGTAAGATGATTTTATTTTTGACACCCGTTCATAACCTGTATGTATTCTTCTAATCTATAAAACATGTCGGATGATTTTTATCTAAAATAATAACTTTAGTTATTTATTTAAAAAATGAAACGATAAAAGCATTTTATTAATATATACTTTTAAATGAAGAATGTTGTTCAACTTAAGTTAGTGTGAAATAATATATTTGTAAATTACTAGATGTAAATTTTAACCATTTCATTTATATAGAGCATGATGTTTTTCAACTTTAGTGTGAAATATATGATACATATTGTCCTCACTTGGAGGGGTATCATGTAACACACACACACACACACACACACAGATAAGCGTGCCCCCGTGACTTAGAGGTTTTCAGGATTCAGAGAGGTCTAAAGTAATTTATTGCCGATGATATCACCCATTTCTTACACATACACACATAGACACACACACACACACACACCACTCCGGTCAAGCGTGGGTAGAGAGAATCACTGGGGGACAACTTTAGACTCATCTTTTACATCTTTTGTAAACCATTCATATTGTATGGACACCTTAGGAACTACTTCTTCAACTCGGTGAAAAAGTAAGATGGTTTTATTTTGTGAAGCGTTAGCAACCTGTATGTTTTCTTCTAATCTATAAAACAAGCCAGATGATTTTTATCTAAAATAATTGGATCAGTACATTTAGTTATTTATTTTACAATGAATGAGAAAAGCATTTTATTTATTTGTTTATCTAAAATAATTGGTTTGGTGTGAAATATTTGTAATTTCATTTATATCAATTGAAAGAACTGAATGGTTTCAACTCTAGCCAGTGTGAGATATTTTCTCACTGTCCCAGCAAGAGTGCAGGAATGGGATGGACTCTCACTCACTCACACACACACACACTCACACACACACACACACACACACGCACATACATAGAAGACTAAAAGGTGCTGGTCAGCCACAGACTCGCTGTGAGAGAGAAAAACAATCTGGGATCTTTAAATGATTCAACATCTTGGGACAGCTGGGAAAGTAAGATGGTTTTATTTTTTGTCACCCGTTAGCAACCTGTATGTTTTCTTCTACTCTATAAAACATGAGGGGTGATTTTTTTTATATCTAAAATAATTGGATCAGTACATTTAGTTATTTATTTACAATGAAAGATAAAAGCATTTTATTTATTTGTTTATCTAAAATAATTGGATCAGTACATTTTAGTTATTTATTTTACAATGAATGATAAAAGCATTTCATTTATATACTTTTAAATGAACCATGGTTTCAACTTTAGTTAGTGCACGATATTTTCTCACTTTCACAGCCCCACAAATTTATAGCCCCTGCTTTAGGAATGCGGAGGGTATCATGTAACACACACACACACACACACACAGACGCAGATGCTTAGTGCGGTGACCATGGCTGTCATGAAAAAAGGCCGGTGAGAGAGAGAGAGTCACTCGGAGGAACATCTTTGGGGAACGTCTGATAAAGTAAGATGATTTTATTCTATAATATCTCCGGATCAAAGACAACTGTCATACCCTGGATCAAAGACAACTGGCAACTTGACATATAATAGAAAGGTCAATAGGGCAAAGACAACTGTCAAAATAAATGATTATACACCCACATCAAAGACAACCGGCATACCCCGGATCAAAGACAACTGTCAACTTGATCGATCGATAGGTCAAAGGGTCATCCCTAGATCAAAGGGACCTCCGGAACACACTCCGGAAGGTCAAAGGTTAGCCCGCCCACCTGTCAATCATAGGTGTCCACCTGTCATAAATCATCTTGACAGAAGCCGTAGGGTATATCTACTTTCGTGGTTTAACTAGTCGAGACTCTTTTCTAAAGATGGCTCCTGTCTGTACATTGTAATGAATAATTTTCGCTGCCGCTAGGGTGCGTCTAGATTTATAGGCTACTACCTGTCCCGAACAAACATGCAATATTTTCAATATTTTTTTACTCGTAATGCATTTTATTTTCACAGATATGTTATCAAAGCCCTTCAAAGTAGAATAAACATGGTGAATGTTAATGCTGAATTTGTGTTTTCATGCATTAACAGCCACGATCTGCTTGAATCAGGCAGCGTTGTAACATGTGTATGATGTTTATCATAATTTGGTAACACTTTACAATTAACTAGAAAGTTTGTAGTAGTTTTAAAAGCTTGAAGTTTGAAGGTTTTCAATTGGAAAGTTTTAGTTTAGTAAGACAGACTTTGTTTAGGCTAGTAAGAAAATGTAATTTTGCCAAAAGAAGAACTTTTATTTTAAGTAAATGTTATTTTTAAATCAGCTTCAGTGTGATATTTAACCATATTATCATGCTTAACACTGATAATTTGAATAATTGTAATGCGATGATCAGATATCTAAATCAGAGAATATCATATGTTTGGGCGGTTGGATTATTTATTTTTAACAGCGGATTCGGGGGACTCAAAGTGCACCAGATTAGTGAATTTATCTTTAAAATGTACAAAATTTTCTTTCAGGGGGGCATGCCCCCGGACCCCCCTAAAGGTACATAGGTACGAAAATACTGTGGTAACACAGTAGACTATATGATGGTCTATGAAAAATACACATTTTATTATCTTATTAAAATACATGATCAGGATTTTACCACCTTCGCCTCATTTTAAGCCAGGAAAAACCCTGCATGTGCAATATAAAGTACTGGACAACTTTCTTTCTTTTTTTCTGCTTTATTGCTTTAAAATAAATAGCCTATTAAGCCAATTAAGCAAAAATCTGTCAACAAAAGTCTGAAGAAAAATAAAACCGGGATTACACTTGACATTCTGTCCCCCTCACTTTTGTAATGATGGCCCCTGACGTCAACGCATCATTCCAAGGCCTTAAAGGGATACTCCACTTTTTTTGGAAATAGGCTCATTTTACAACTCCCCCAGAGTTAAACTGTTGAGTTTTACCGTTTTTGAATCCATTCAGCCGATCTCCGGTTCTGGCGGTACCACTTTTAGCATAGCTTAGCATACATCATTGAAGTGGACAAGACCATTAGCATTTCTAAAAAAAAAAAATGACCAAAGGAACTATACTCTCATTCCTGCGTAATAATCAAGAAACTTCACTGCCGTACCATGAGAGCAGCAGGCGTAATGATATGACGCAGCGCCTGAAAATAGTTCCGTTGTGTTGACGGAAGGTAGCCTATTTTCAGGCGCTGCGTCATATCATTACGCCTGCTGCTCTCATGGTACGGCAGTGAAGTTTCTTGATTATTACGCAGGAATGAGAGTATAGTTCCTAGCCATATCAGCCTAGAAAATCGCAACTTTACATTTTCCGTCGGTCTTAGTGCACGATGTAACTACAGAAGAGTCAAGTTTTAAATAGGAAAAATATCAAAACTCTTTGGTCATTTTTTTTTTTTAGAAATGCTAATGGTCTTGTCCACTCCAATGATGTATGCTAAGCTATGCTAAAAGTGGTACCGCCAGAACCGGAGATCGGCTGAATGGATTCAAAAATGGTAAAACTGAACAGTTTAACTCTGGGGGAGTTGTAAAATTTCCAAAAAAAGTGGAGTATCCCTTTAAAGCATAAAAACATATAAGGAATCAAAATACTGGGGTACATTGGTCCATTTTGAATCAGAACTATTGATTTTAGTTGTGAATCAATTCTATTGATAGTTACGCCATCTTGCATGATTATCACTGAGCTTGTTGCTATTCATTTCTCTAAAGGATATACTTTGAATCAACATCGCTCAGATTGTGCCTTACAAACTCAAAATCTACACAGGAATGAGCCAATCCCCTTACCAGTGACAAATCTGCAACCCACAGGGTGTTTCAGTGATGCGTGAACAAGGGTGGCGCTCTGATTGGTTAGTCAGCCAATGCAAGATGTAGAGAGGACAATAAAGCCGGCTCAGTCCTCCGACAGTCTGATGTGCGGCCCACTTTCAGCGGTGCCATGGTGTTCATGAGCTGGCATCTCAGCTGAAAAGAACAACATCCAGGGAAACACGGTGAACACATTAGTCGATCAGGTCACATCTGCGACTGACAACATGAAGTGGTCCACAATGACAAGTTTGTCCATTTAAAGGTAGGGTAGGCAATTTCAGAGCGGCTAGCAATAGCAAGCTAGTTTTGAAAGCATTAGATACCGCCCTCCCTTTAAAGCCACGCCTCCTCCAAAACACATGACTGCACACTCAGACTCAAATCACTTAACATTACAATAATAATGAACGTATACAACTGACAGAGCTCTTGCTCGTACCACCTGACTGCTGCAGTGATGCAATGATTGGATGAATGTTTTTTTTTGGTCCAGAATATACATGTCCATGTTTTAATGTTTAGACCATTTCTATTATTTAGTGCTATCAGGATTAGGGCTGGGGCGGTATGGATTTTTTGTAACCGCGGTTGAAAAGCAAGATATTCCCGCGGTATAGCGGTAAACCGCTTTAAACACCCAACCCCCATTTTTTATTTAATCTATGTCGATTATATGAAAAGGGAACACCATGAGTAAGGTTCATAAGATGGGTCAGACATGATTTTGACCACTTTATTAAGTTTTGTTTTGTAGAAAGCCTTTCTTTAAATTAAATTTCGTTTTGTATAAATTGTATCTTAATTTTAATCACTGTTTCATTAACTAATTGCCTGGAATTATACAAATATAGCAGACATATAATCAGGACGATGTGGAAGCGACGGTGCGATCTCTTGCGCGTGAACTGGAGCTCGTCTCATAAATGAACCGAAACTCGTGCGCCCATCGGAGACGGAGTTCACTGCTGATATTCTGAGGATACAACATAGCCAATAGGCTATACTAGGGACTTTAGCCTTTAAATATCTTTGCTGCATGCGCAGTCTCCTTTCTAGAACAGCCAAGAGCTTTCTAGCCTCGCGGCAGCAGCGCCTTGCATCGCTCATAGACCTTAAAACTGATCAAAAAATTCAAAAAACGAAAATTGATCAAAAAACGTTGGTGCGGATAGATGGCGGACAGATGATGAGTTTTGTGCTGCGGTTCCGTTGCGGATGAAATAATAATAGCCCATCCGCGCATCTCTAATACGAATGTAGCCTAATGCTATGTGTCATGGAACATTGCGCTCCCCAACTCGCGAAAGGGATTTGCTCCATCTTTTGATAAGTTTTGTTTAGAAAACCTTGAATCCAAGACACACTATCATTAGAAATAATCCATGTCATTAGAATCAATGAATCCATATCATTAGACACAACGTGCACACATGTGCAGGCCAAAATTTTTTTTTTTTTTTTTTTTGCGGTGATGACGGTGACGAGCTCAGACCCGCGGTTGGAGTCACGTGACCGCGGTAATGCGGTAATGCGGTAACCGTCCCAGCCCTAATCAGGATGTGAAGAGAGTTTCAACCAGAATAACATAAAGAGTTTATGAAAAAAAAAGCCTATCTTTAACAATGGAAATAAACGTGTTAAAATTCTGAAAATGAAGAAAGCATTTCAATCTACACTATTTCTGCACTCAATGGGGTTCTATGTAGAACTCTACGGTTCGTGACTCAATTTTAAAGAACTCTTTATGCCAAAAAAGTTCTATAAGAAGAAATGTCTTAAATGATCGCATAATACTTTCATATTTAACGGTTATTTTAATTTTTTCTCTAGTGATAAAGTATGTTTACAAGCTGTTTAATTCATCAAATTTTTAAGCAAAATTAATTCATTAAAACTAGATCAAAGACGGGAACGCCTAAAAGGTTCTATATATGAAGACAGAACCCTTTAAAGTTCTATTTGGAACCTTTTCTTCTATCGACATTAACTGTATTTCCAGGCCAGTTTCTGGAAATAGAGCAGACATCGCAATGACATTTTTTACATAAAATATTTAAAGAAATAGACAATGCACATTTTCAACAGTTCACAGCAGCTGCATCATCCGCATGTTTAAAGCACTGTCTGTTTCTTACAGTTTTACATTCAAAGTACTCACGCCTATCATCAAAACACAGTGTAATTTACCTTTTTATCGGCTTTCTTTGGCAAGTTCAAACCTGAAGGTTTGGATTCTCTGAGCCTGACTCTCACACAAACTCCTCGGCACAGCCGTGTGTCTCGGATTGGCGGGCTTCTTCCTCCAGGGATTTAAACTGTGCTTGAGTTTCTTATTATGCAACAGAACTGGCCGGAGGTGACGTGCCGTTAGCAAACACTATTTATCCCGTCTGGTCCAGAACACATGCAGCTGTCCTCCATTTTCTCTCCTGATGGAATAACACAGGGTGTGTCACACTTCATCAGCGAGTCCGAGCTGGTTCAGGATTTACTTTCCATCTCACCTTCTCACACACCGCAAACATGAACCTATTCATTCTCAACCAACATCACTCCTTACATCCTTTTCATAGCTCGGAATAAAGGATCTACATAATAAAGCGTTTCAGTCTTTCTCCTAAATGCAAAATGAAAGAATTCCTGGCAGCTGATGTGATGATTCACTGTTTCCACTAGTTAATCTGAGAAAACATCTGTCTTGTCAAACCATCATACCCTGTGTGTGTTGTTAAAGTGGTTCGATTATCTTTAGATAAACACTGTCCACATATGGCTTTCTAACACTTACATTGACTTTGAGTCCTGAACTGTTTACAGTAAGTCACATTTAAAGAACGAGAGAGTGAAAGGAAGTACCTGCTAGTGTTTGTCACGTCCATCTCACGGTCCACTCGTCTGAGTCGTCTCTCAGAGATCATTCATGGACTGTGGGGTTGGGCTTGTCGAATACACAGAGGTTTTCAACGCCACAAGACTGTGTCCTCAGCATCTTGCTATGCACGAGCCGCGAGGCCAAGAAGGAAAATGTTAACTGGAACAATGTGAGGCAGTCAATAAAAAATATGAGGCAAGCGCATGACTCGACCATATAAAAGCCTGAGCTGGACGCGCTGCTGGAAATCTGAGCACTGAGTGATCCTGTGTTAAAGAACAATGTAAAAAAAAAAAAGGTTTACAAATTAACATAAAGAGTATGCTATTATTGTGGTGTACATGTATAGCGGGTGAATTATGTATATGATGTATATGTTAGGATTAACTTGCACTGACTTTCTATGATGTTCAAAGTGTTTTTAATGACGCTGATTTTTAAAGGCTGACTCTGAGATGCGAACGGGAACATGGTTTGTGTAACATTAGCAACACATTAGTATCTGTTTGATAATGTATTCAAGCCAACGGCTAATCACATTAATTACCGCTATGTGTCCGGCTTTGCAGAGAGCGATACATAAAACACATTCTGATACATGTAGACGAGCCCGTATAATTCACTCTTCCTCTTCTGCGTTCACTATACGGTAAAGGTGAGTGAGTGTATCAGCTATTCTGAGCTGGTGTGAGTGAGTAGAGACGGGCTAATTTGCATATCATGCATATTCAACCGTTACAGGACCTAAAATATAAGTTTTATGCCTTTATGCAGAGGTGTAAATTCCCGGTTCAGAAAGTAAAAGTCCTTTTTTAGAATTTTGTTTCCTAAAGTAGTGTGTGTTAGGAGTGTAAAGGAGTGTGTTCCAGCCGGCTGAGGGTGAAATATAAACATATGGCAGGACTTTTACTTTCTGGCTTTAGGACTTTACACCTCTGCCTTTATGTAAATTTGAATGTTGCGTTTTGACAGAATACTCACAAACAAGCTTACTACTCACATCATGCAATTAATCACACAAACTTTCCCTTTTTTCTTTCTTTCTGTTTTTTTTAACCTTTTTTGAGGCGTAATACATTACATGACGAGAGGAGGCGAAATTAATCATCCTCTTTTTTTTATGTTACAAATCAAACAGGATGCAAATATGTGTGTTAATTATTCAACAGAAGCAACAAGTCACGCGTCAGTAGGTTTGTTATGTAAAGTCAAAGCTAATGACGCTGTTGCCAAATATGCAGATTCATCAAACACATGTTGACCTGTGTGTGTGTGTGTGTGTGTGTGTGTGTGTGTTTCACACTATGATGAATGTCACAGTCAAACCTGCCAATAGAGTTTTCAGAAAATATGCAACACGTATAATATAAAACCATTTAAAACATTTATGAATTGTATACCTTTCATATTCAAACATAGATCTCGCTGCATTTTTGGAAAGTATATAATAACATTAGGGGTGAGAAAATGATGGTGTGTATGTAGTTTATTCTTTCTAACTGTCTAACTGTAAATATTTGGTTACACTGTATTTGGATAGTCCAGTTCATAACGTTGCACCTACATGCCAAGTAACTAGACTGTAGTAGATGTTAGGTATTAGAGTTTGGGTTAGTAGAATATCTGTTGAGGAGCATCACAATAAAGAGTTATCCGATATTATAGACAACTATTAGCCTACTCTATAATACTCTAATGAGAGTTAGTTGGCATGTTGCAAAGTTACTTGTGGTCAACAGACAGTCTAAAGTGGACCATCGAAATAAAGAGTTACCAAATATCTTGTTCTAATCATTTACAGTAAATAATTAATGTATTACAGTTATTCTTGATTGCTCAAACACATTTCTAGAAGTTATGCCTCCTCTTCTTGAAACTGAACACAAATCTCTAACTTCTCACCCATTTCCCCAAACTTCCTATTTTCAGGTCAAAACGAAGCTGTCCACTCAAAACCATTCACTCTTGCTGAAAAACCAAACTTTGCCCTCAGACAGGACACACAAGTCCTCAAAAACACACACACACACACACTACAACATAGTCTTACACACTGGTGAGGTCAATTCAAAACAATACTACAAAAAACAGTAATATGTAAGTTATGCTGCTTGTGGTTCTCCCCCTTCTTCCACTCCATCGTCTCTGTGTCCTACAAAAATAGAAGGACTGATTACTGTAACTCTTTTTTACAAAATGGAAGCATTCAGAAAGTTTCTGTATGTGAGTCAATTTGATGCATTTTCTTTTCATTCCAGCTATAGTGCAAGAGTTAGAGTACATGTGTGTGTAACAGCACAGAGTTCAGCACGCAGAGCTTACAGTAGAGAGAGTGTGAAGAACTGGTTCCTGATGGAGGCGACGGTGAAGCGACTGATGATTGGCTGCACTCGTTGCTCAGCCTCACTCAGAATCACACCGGACACGGGCATGCTCAACTAGAGTAGCACCAGTTTCATCCTTTACCTTCCTCCTCCTCTTCCTCTTCCCTCCTCCTTCACATCCTCTTCTTCCTCCTTCACCTTCCTCCTCCTTCACCTTCCTCCTCATTCTCTTCCTTTTCATCCTTCACCTCCTCCTCCTCATCTTCCTCCTCATCCTCTTCCTACTCCTCATCCTCCTCATCCTCTATCTCCTCATCCTTCACCTCATCCTCCCTCCTTATCCTTCACCTCCTCTTTCTCTTCCTCTTCACCTTCTCCTCCTCTTCTCCCTCCTCCTCCTTCACATCCTCCTCATCCTTCACCTCCTCTTCTTCTTCATCCTTCACATTCCTCCCAACTCCTCCTCCCTCCTCCTCCTCCTCCTTCTCTTCCTTTTCATCCTTCTCCTCCTCCTCTTCCTCCTCATCCTCTTCCTACTCCTCATCCTCCTCCTCTTCCTCCTCATCCTTTACCTCCTCCTCCTTCACCTCTTCCTTCACCTCCTCCTCATCCTTCACCTCCTCCTTCTCTTCCTCTTCATCCTTCACCTCCTCCTCCTCCTCTTCTCCCTCATCGTCCTTCACCTTCTCTTCCTCTTCATTCTTCACCTCCTCTTCCTCCTCCTCTTCTCCCCACTCCTCTTCCACCTTCTCTTTCTCTTCATCTTTCACCTCCTCTTCCTCCTTCACCTCCTCCTCCCTCATTCTCCTCTTTCTCCTCCTCTTGCTCCTCATCCTTCCCCTCCTCTTTCTCTTCATCCTTCACCTCCTCCCAACTCATCATCTCCCTCTTCATCATTCACCTCCTCCTCCCTTCTCCCCCTTCTCCTCTTCCTCATCCTCTTCCTTAACCTCCTCTTACTATTCCTCCTAATCCTCTTCTTCCGCTTCATACTTCACCTCCTCCTCTTCCTTCACCTCCTCCTTTCCTTCACCTCCTCCTTTCCCTTCCTCTTAATCCTCTTCTTCCGCTTCATACTTCACCTCCTCCTCTTCCTTCACCTCCTCCTTTCCCTTCCTCTTAATCCTCTTCTTCCGCTTCATACTTCACCTCCTCCTTTTCCTTCACCTCCTCCTTTCTCTTCCTCCTATTCCTCCTCTTCCTCTTCATACTTCACCTCCTCATGCTCCTCTTTCTCCTCTTCCTTCACCTCCTCCTTTCTCCTCCTCTTTCTCCTCTTCCTCTTCATACTTAACCTTCTCCTCCTCTTCCTCCTCCTTCTCCTCCCCCCTCTTCATCCTCTTCCTTCTCCTCCATCTCCTCCTCCTTTCTCCTCCTCTTCCTTCTCCTCCTCCCCTTCCTCCTCCTTCTCCTCCTCTTCCTTCTCCCTTTTCCTCCTCCACCTCCTCCTTTCTCCTCATCTTCCTCCTCTTCCTTCACTTCCTCTTCCTCCTCCCTTTTCCTCCTCCTCCTCCTTTCTCATCTTCCTCCTCTTCCTTCACCTCCTCCTCCCCCTCTTCCTTTATTTCCTCCTTTTTCCTCCTCCTCCTTCACCTCCTCCTTTCTCCTCCTCCCCTCCTCCTTTCTCCTCCTCCTCCTTCCACCTCCTCCTCTTCCTCCTCCTCCTTTTTCCTCCTCCTCCTCCTCTTCCTTCTCCTCATCCTCTTCCTTCTCCTCCTCCTCCCCCTTCCTCCTTCTCCTCCTCCACCCTCCTCGTATTCCTCCTATTCCTACCCCTCCCTCCCTCCCTTCCTCCATTTGCTGACTTGAGTGAACAATATAAAAGGGTTTGTTTACTCGACAACGATATGCTTAAAACCGAGAAGTTATTTCTTTGAGTTTACAGACGACACCATTGTCAAAATGACCCCCATTCACACGGATCATCATCGTCTTCAGAGATTCAGGGTTTTGTTGTTTGGAGACCGTTGTCAAAAACTTTTCAGGCACCCAAAACGATCACGTGTCTGTCTTCAAGTTCCTACTCAATGTGGTTTGACACGTGTTGAAAGACAGTAATAAAAGTGCTGAAGTGCAGAATGCTGTGGTTGTGGTGGCACGGATGTGACAAATAATAGAACTGAATGTTTCTGAAAATGGAGAGGAGATCAGTTTGTACACTTCAAGGGAACACTGTAAAAACACCCAATTCAACTTGAAAAGTCGAGTTCAGTAAAATCAAATTGGCTTTACAAGTCAAAACATAAAAAATATATAAGTTGAAATTGGTTAAATTATTTTGATGGGTCAACGTAATGGAAAAACATGTTGTCATATTGATCATATATTTTTATTTATACAAAGCTGGTGAAAATGCAGAGACGACGTCATGCTGCTTTTTCTCACGATGCTTGCAGCTCTTTTTTTAATCTATATTTTCCAAACTGATCCTATGCCTTCTCCTGCAACATTTACGTTTACGTTTACATTTACTCCTGCAACATTTAGCTGAATCTACGTAAGTGAGAAAGCTTCTAAAGAGAGCAAAGAATAATTGTAAATCCTGTAACTTATTGTGAAATTCTAAGAATTATTCCTTCAATGACTCAAGGCAGGGAACTCAAGAGATCATCAAATGTACAGGACCTTGAAACACAGATCTTGCATGCAAATTATATTTTCCTGCCAACAATATCACCTCCCTGAAACTGAATACGTGTTGTTCTTTCAATAAGGGCTATTTTAGTATCTTAAAATGAATTATGTCATCCAGAACTAAGCTAAAACTCCATCTAAACAACACTGGCATTAAGACAAGTTTATATTATAGAGATTTTCTTTATGAGATTATATAAAGAAGGTAGATTTCAACTGTGTTGATAAGTGTTGGTTGGGCCAAGTTGTCACATTTATATTTGGGTAAAGTGTCACGTGTGTTTCATAGGTTCACTTCTGAAATGTGTTAATAAACAGCAGTAAATCTGGCAACCCAGCTATAACAGGACTTTCCCACAGCTTTAACCAATGTTCTGTAAAGATTAAGATAAAACATGATTTAAATAACATTTATAGAATGTTCTTGTAACCTAATTATTTATGTTGGCTTGAGAAAGACAACATTTTTAAATGTTATTTTTAAATATTATTATTCTGAGACTAAATTTTTAGACTGCTACTCCTAGCTTTAATACACAAACACTAAACTCACAAACCATGGGCCTGGAGTTTCAAACTGCAAAAAAAAAAAAAAAAAAAAAAACTGATCAGATTCACATTCTTCGAAGAAATAATAATCATATTAAAAAAATCCCAAACTTACATTGGCTTAGCAAAAATGCCCCTTCTAAATACTGTCCAGGATAAGAAATCCTCTTGTTTACTGTCAGTTTCCATCCGTCGAAAATGAGAAATAAAAGCATAATCTGAGAGCGCTCCACAAGTTATGTTTGTTTATACCATGATGCTCAATATTGATCAGCCAGAGAACTCAGGAAAGTTTGTCAATTTTATGTGTTTAAAGCGCCTTGCTTTAAACACATAAAATTGACAAACTTTCCTGAGTTTGAACATCCAAGCAATTTTAGACCATTCAAGCACAACAACACACAACATCTCACTTCAGTCCTCGTTACATACAGCAATAATGATATACATGATAGCTTGGCGAGTATCATCGAAAACATCCAGTTATGCCTCAAGTGAACATAAACAGTTGAGAAAGCGGCTGTGTATCATTGGATTCGTGCTACTTTGAAAATATACCTGAAACCTGATTTCTTTTTGCTAGGCCTATTGCTTGTAGCCTACTTTGCTTATTGTGAACTTTAACTTGTAGGCCTATACTTTTGCTGTAGCCTAATAATAAGCTTATTTATTAGAATAGCCTACAAAATAACATGGGTCACAAAAAAACAACAATACAAATACACACAAAAAAACATTTTGCGAGTAAAAACAACAGTGTAACCTTTTAACATTCGAATCACGACAAGATGTTTTAGAAACATTGTAAATTGCTGTTCCCACATCATTTTTAATAAGCTGGGTAAATCAATATATGTGATGACATATCACACTGTTCAGTACATAAACTGCTAAATAAACTGTTGAAACCTTTTTTTTTTCCAGTGGAGATGATGTTTTGTAGTCAACTTGACTTTCAAAAATAACTAGAGAAATATCACAAAACATTCTGACAGTTAGGCCTAACCCTGGTGTCAATACATAATAGCCTTTCTATAGGCCTATGGTGAGTAACATCGAAACTGATGTTACCAAACATGCAAGTTTGTGTGTGTGTGTGTGTGTGTGTGTGTGTGTAGGGCCTGATAAGGTGGAAAGCACCATATCTTTTAGTCCACTGGGTTGCCAGATCACACTAAACACGAAAAGAAACAGCTTAAAAATACAGATCATGTCAGCAGTTTTCATATATTAGAAAAACATATTTACAAATTAAATAAAAAAATAACGCATGCGGTGTATAATGGATTAACGGGAAACGTCGCTGTGTCACTCAGGGTGAATCTGAATATTTGGCAACCCACCCTGAGAGAGTCCAGTCGAGCGAAAGGAAAGCGCAGATCTCGAGGCGACCGAGTCAGGAAATGTTGGTCGGGTTTCGGACGCACATCTGAAGTCGGCCCGAGAGCTTGGGGAAAACCGGTTTGCGACAATGTTAAAGGACCCTGTATTCCAGTTTGGGGTGTTTTACGCCTTATTGTGTCAATGTGCCTTTGGTTTGGGTGAGTATCATATTGCTAAAGCTGCTTGTGCTAACGATATGTCTAACGCTATCTATCTCTGTTTATGAGCGCGTGCGTCCATTAATGTGAAGTGTGATTTCTGAAATATTCAGTAAATAATACAGTATGTTTTAAATAATCGCCGCTTGAGTGTGTTTAAGCTGTTGGCTGTTATTTAAATGCGGGGATCATTTCTGGTAACAGACCTGTGGTTCCCATATCATTTCCCAAATCTGGGAAATGTAACGTTAAGTGTTTTACAGTTGTGATTCCCTGCCCGAAAATGCATTCTCGTCTGGGGTGTTTTTCATTTAAATCGTTATTTATTAAAAAATAGCCTGAGTCAATTAGACTATAAAATATCTTAAGATTCAAAATAGTTCACATTTTGTTGTTTAAAAAATAATTATAGAGCCTGTGTGCTATAAGCGAGTGTTTACAAATGTAGGCCCATGCGCTCACACATTTAAATGATCTCCTTCATATTTTTTTTGTTTTTCAGTATGGCATAAGAGAGTCGTAGTCGAGGGACTTTATTTGTAATGTAGCCACAAAAAAAAAAAAATCCTCCTGCTCACCAAGAACAAATACTGTATTGTTTACTGTGCTAACGGCACTTTATGATATACTAGCTATATACTTTATTAATGACTGAGGCCGCTGCCTGCAACTCTTTGTAAGTGTTTGATAGGGTCTATAGCAATGATTATATATATATATATATATATATTACTGTACTGCATATATAAAGATACTGAATGTGTGTTCTGGGTTGTCCTCTTGAAGTCTGGACCATTTTTATATTTTGCTTAAAATAAGTATCTACTAAAACCAAATAAACAATGTAGGCTACATTATAATCAAAACGCCCTCATTATGAGCAGTAAACGAAGTTAACTAGTCATTTCAAAGTTTGTTGTCTTTCCTTGCCATTTACAAATAATTTTCCCAATTATAACAATATATTTATTATGAAATGCTCTTACCATGTTGATTATTAATGCTAAATGCAGATGAAAAAACGTCTTGTCACAAATCTGGTTTGAACGGTCATAATAAAATTTTTGCATCATTGTTGTTTTCTGCAGTGTTTTAGCGAAAGTATCAAATTTGACTTTTTACTGCTCACTGTGTTTCTGCTACTGTTGTTATAATAACTGCGTCATCTGCAGCTCTTCCTTTGACGTTTTTGCCTCTAGATGATCATAAACGCTTGTGGTGTAAACCACTCGACATGCTGCTCACTTTAACTACAGTAAAATGGTGCTACTGTTACCATTATCTGTTGCGGTCTTGTTGGAGTTGAATATGCATGGCCTATAGCTTTTTGGTAAGCCACCCAAAACACCATTTTATTATTTTACCTGTATATTATCCTAAAGCTTCCACTAAGAAAAAGTCCATTGCAACGTACAAATCAACCTACTTACAAGACACACACCGCAATGCATTACCGCAATAATACTGTAGTCCTGATGTTCATTCACTACGATTGATAACTGAGGCGCAGGATGACGTCAGTCGCTTTTGTAGGGAACGAGAGCAAGTCTGTGATGTGACGTGATAGTAGCGCCAGTACAGATACCCGGATGTACAGCATTCCCATGGATTACAGTAAATATAAGGGAATAGCTGATGGCTGAATGCCATGATCGACCCGTCTGAATCAAGAACTCCAGAGAGCTGTGTAATAAGATATGTGCTTCTTAGATAGATGAGATGCTTCTGTAGAAAAAAACAACAATTCCCAGACAGCACACGTGTCTTATAATGAGCACTTCGTCTGGAAAGCATCTAATCAAGTCAAGTCACTTCAAGCCACCTTTATTTACAATACAGAGTGTTTCAAAGCATCTTTACAGTAATAACAGGAAAATATTGCAACAAAGTTTGTTTCTGCTATATAGCAGATCTAGAAGAAAATAGTGTCATATTCCATCTTAAGTAAGCTCAGTGAGTTCATTTCTGTTGTAAAAAAATGATTGATTTAGTTAATTTATATTCAGGCGCTCTGGAGAAAACAGTGATGTCATCGTCCAGCTCAGTTCAGTTCTCATGTAATGGTGTCAATGCAGGCAGATCAGTAATAATAAAATCTGATAAACGTCTTTAAAAAGTCAGTTTTACATGCATTCTTAACCGTAAACATCTTAAAGACATTTTCTAAATGTCTATTTGACATCTGAAAGGAAACGCCTTGCGATGTACTTGTGTTATCAGTTGTGTTCAGTGTCCAGATTCCTGGTAGAGAGCAACATTAATTATAGGAAGCGATCCATTAGTCAGAGAAGTTGTTGTTAGCATGCAAGAGAGGTCAGTGCAGCCGTCCACCATCAGACATCAGGAATGACGTAATGGAGGATAGACATGAAAGTCTGCAGTGCTGTGTTGTTATATATTGTAACATTATTATAATTATTATAATCAGGGTTTGAAATTAACACTTGCCGACCGCCAAATGCGGGTAAAAATGAACTGTGGCGGGAAACGCTGTCAAATCACGAGCCAATTTGGCGTGTTAAGCCTAGTTCACACTACATGATTTTAAAACGTCGGGCTGAACTGTGCGGTTCACACTACATGACTTGCTCTCTGTGAAATCAGGAGTGTTCAAGTTGTTGACACCACACGACACAACGTGATTGATCCGCAACAGGGGGTAACGCACTACACGAGTTGACAACAACTCTGTCACCCAACGATTCTATCTTGTCTACAAACCACGTTTTGTCACGAAAAATCACGCGATAAAACGAACCGGAAATGACGCGAAACAGCACGCGCGTCAATACCCAGCGAAGAAGACGAAGAAGAACACAACACGCGAACATGCCTTGCTCTGATTGGCTGTAGCTCATGACATCACGTGAGCTTGAGTCGTACGACAGCTCTGGATATCTAGCATGCTAGATATTTTTCTGGGCTCGGCGACGCGTCTGCGAGGCGTCTGCGAGCGTCTTTGATGCGTTGTTTGCTCTTTCATACTAACAGATTGGCGAGTGTTTATCGCCCGCTAATCTCAGTCTTAATATGTTGTATTTCTTCTTTTTTTTCTTTTCTTTTTTCTTTTGGTGCTAGTAGAAGTTCTGAATGGCCGGTAATTTAAAAAATGTGTAGCAAAAATGGCCGGTGAGTGAAAAAGTTAATTTCAAACCCTGATTATAATGTTATTATTATTTTTACATAATTTGCCCAACTTAAAGGTGGGCAAGCGATATTTGAAAAACGCTGTTTGGAAGTTAGTCAGACCGACACACGAACAAACAACAACAAACGTGTGTAGCCAATCAGCATTAGGGGCGTGTGACGGTGGAGGAGAGAGAACGAGCAGGAGCAAGGTGTGAACTGAAGGAAGACTGCAGAAATAGAGATGAGACGCAATACAAAAGAGAAAAGCTCAGAAGAAATTACTGGAAAATGAAGGGTTATGACTGGGCAAGAGCTTTAGGACCCGCGTTAATATTAGAAAAGCTTTCCAGTGGTGGAGAGAGCAAAGCGGGAAAGCCTGAAAACACACGCGGATGTTGCTTTGATTCGCTCCACACGTGAGTAACAGTAACAAGTGAGTAACACATGAGTAACACGTGAGTAACAGTAACAAGTGAGTAACACATGAGTAACACGTGAGTAACAGTAACAAGTGAGTAACACATGAGTAACACGTGAGTAACAGTAACAAGTGAGTAACACATGAGTAACACGTGAGTAACAGTAACAAGTGAGTAACACGTGAGTAACAGTAACACGTGAGTAACACGTGAGTAACAGTAACAAGTGAGTAACACAGTAACACGTGAGTAACACAGTAACACGTGAGTAACAGTAACAAGTGAGTAACACAGTAACACGTGAGTAACAGTAACACGTGAGTAACAGTAACAAGTGAGTAACACAGTAACACGTGAGTAACACAGTAACACGTGAGTAACAGTAACAAGTGAGTAACACAGTAACACGTGAGTGACAGTAACAAGTGAGTAACACAGTAACACGTGAGTAGCACAGTAACACGTGAGTGACAGTAACAAGTGAGTAACACAGTTACACTGAGTATCAAGTGAGTAACACGTGAGTAACACAGTAACACGTGAGTAACAGTAACACGTGAGTACCACGTGAGTAACAGTAACACGTGAGTAACACAGTAACACGTGAGTAACAGTAACACGTGAGTAACAGTAACACGTGAGTAACAGTAACACGTGAGTAACACAGTAACACGTGAGTAACAGTAACACGTGAGTAACAGTAACACGTGAGTAACAGTAACACAGTAACACGTGAGTAACAGTAACACGTGAGTAACAGTAACACGTGAGTAACAGTAACACGTGAGTAACAGTAACACGTGAGTAACAGTAACACGTGAGTAACACGTGAGTAACAGTAACAAGTGAGTAACACAGTAACACGTGAGTAACACGTGAGTAGCACAGTAACACGTGAGTGACAGTAACAAGTGAGTAACACAGTTACACTGAGTAACACGTGAGTAACACGTGAGTAACACGTGAGTAACACGTGAGTAACACGTGAGTAACACGTGAGTAACAGTAACACGTGAGTAACACAGTAACACGTGAGTAACAGTAACACGTGAGTAACACAGTAACACGTGAGTAACAGTAACACGTGAGTAACACAGTAACACGTGAGTAACAGTAACACGTGAGTAACACAGTAACACGTGAGTAACAGTAACACGTGAGTAACACCAGGGATGGAAATTAACTTTTTTGTCCACCGGCCACTGTGGCTGGTGGATTTCAAAATCTACCAGCCACTCAATGTTTTTACCAGCCACTTTCTTGTTTTTAACCGACAATGTGTAACTGCATGTGAAAATTAATACTACAAGAATACTTAAGCAGTTTATTTAATCTCAAGTCTCAATGAAATACTGACATTTTCTCTTTCTCTCACCCTCGGCCTCATCCACCTAATCTGTCATTTATTTTTGTTTTGATGATAAATTGAGCCAGCCTCCAAAAGTAATTAAC